GAAAATTAATTTCTTAATTTATCGCCACTTTCCGATCTTTTATGAAAACAATAACCGTAAAATTGTGTGTGATTTTTCCGGAAAGGGCGGCGGTTACGATTCGGTTTGATTAGACGTAAATCGAATATTTAGCAGCGGAACTGTTGATAGAGGAGCGAAGGGGATGGGAGGGCAGAGATGGTTTGTGGTTATAAGGAAGTTCGGCTAAGATTTCCGCACGGCACATTACACATTCACCAACAACAGATTACACCCCATCCCTTTACATGTCTCGGCTTCATCATTCCAAACATGATTGTTCCGTTGGCAGTCGTCTATACATATACCGTGCTTGTTGTCTTATGTGTATAAAGGCGGAGGGGTTGGAAATGTTGAACTTCCTCAACTAATAATACGGATATTATCGAAATTATAATCGGTCGGTTAAAAATTGTGCTCTTTCCCTTAAGACAGAGAGAAATATGTGATCATAGCATTCTTGAAGCATGTATCGCGTACATTCCGACCTTAAAAGGGAACTTAGTAAGACGTTTGCGACTGACGAGAGATGAACATTCCCCAAGTTCCATACATCAATTTCATTCCTTTAACCCTTTACCTTCACTTGTATTCGTGTCGTGTATATAATCGCCTGTAGCCATCCCATTCTCGGTTATTAAAACATTCATTTCAAAGGGCGTTCCAGTTATTGTATGAAACTGTGCGGTCAACACGGTTTTGGAACACATTTTTCGGGGCGCATTCTGAAAACTGCAGTCTTTCGCTTTGGAAATTTCTTAATTTTAGGGCGGTCCAATTTGAACACTCTTTTCATTTTAAGAGAGAGAAAATGGATCTAGGTGCCTGCAGTTCAATTTTAGAGAGAAAATCACTGGTTCCAACAAAATGTCTCTAATCGTTTGGCCGCTAGGGCGCGTTTCTTGAATTTGATCGATTTCTTTAATGCCCCATAACTTCCTTATTATTAAAGATAATTGATTTTGGCAAAATCATTATTTTTATGTAGAATGTATCCCGATACACAGTTGTTGTACAGGATGTTTGGTTTTTCTTTATATACGACCATAAATTGCATTTTTTCATACGAACCACCCGATATATTTTGGGGATTTTGAAAATAGCGTAAAATTTCCTAAATTTTGATTTCACTTGATATATTTATATTTAATATTATTTGCAATATTGTATTTTGTGTATACCTACATTAAAATATTTTTATTGCAGACATCAAGTTTCCATGGTAAACAAAAGATCTGGAAATTTTTAGTAGATCCAAACTTTTTTCAAAAATTCCAAAATATATAGGGTGGTCTGTATGAAAAAAATGTAGTTTAGGGTCATATAAAAAAATAATAAGAAAGTTGTGGGACATTAAAGAAATTGCATAAATTCAAGAAGCGTCCCCCAGCGGCCAAACAATTGGGGATTAATTCTGTTTGCACCAGTGATTTTCTCTTCAAACTTGAGTTCCAGACACGTGATAGTGATGAGTCTCTGTCTTGGCGTAAAGAGATTTCCCTTACAGATTGTAACGGAATTCTCATTGAAGAACATCTGAAAAATCACATCAGGATTTCTAAAAATTAAAAAATGTATTAAAAAATATCTCAAATTTTTCTGAAATATCTTTAAAGGCTGTTCTGAAAACTTGTTTAGGAATCTCTGGAGAACCTCTGAATCTTTGCAATTTCTAGACTTCCTGAAGCACTCTTCATAAATATTTTATAAACAACTAAAAATTGTTATTATCATTTTCTAACATTTGGAGAATGCTTTTAGAAAATCGCGGCAAATTTCACGAGAGCACTAAATTAAAATTAATGTAGGTACTTTCTGCAGGATGATCCCTTAATTTACCAAAACTCGTTCCCACTGTTACTACTACCGTTTTCGGAAAATGCGATTCAGAAGAAATACAAACGTAAACCATGTAAGCAATGAAAACACGACGGAAAATATGATTTTATAAGAAACTTTGGTAGTCTGAATTGGGCACTTTCTTATAGAAACGCTCTTTATTTTAAGAAAAAAATGGACCTAGGTGTCAGGAGCTCGATTTTAAAAATCACTAGCACAAACAGAATTCAACTATCTCTAATCGGTAGGTGGCGTTTCTCGAATTTAGTCGGTTTCTTTATGATTCCATTTGATTTTTTTTAGGATTTTGGGTTATGGTGTCAAAACTAGCCCCCTGGCGGAGAAGGATTAAACTAAATTAACTATATTTTGGCCCAAGGAATGCTCTTTTCAACGATCTTAGGGCACTTTTTGATGTAGAATCCATCGCGATTCACAGTTTATATACAGAGGGTGTCTGGTTTTTCTCATACGACCCTAAACTAGATTTTTTTCATATGGACCACCGTATACAGTGTGTCCCAGATCGTGTGGGATTGCATGTCTTATATCATCGAAAGTATACCAGGTACAAAAGAAAGTTTTATATAAAAGTTACTGTCTTTGATAAGCTTTAATTTAGAATTGATGTCAAAAAAATTCAAGATGGCTACTTTTGAGGAACATACCAACTTCCTAAAGTTTCAATAGGCGCCATATTGGATTTTTAGAATACTTAATAGATTTTTTAATTCTATTTTCAACGAGCTATCATACCATACGATTAAAAATAAGATATCAGTTATAACAACCGTTTTTATATTTTAATCAAGTAGTCTGTGATGAATTAAAAAAAAAACAAAACAAAATCTATTCGAGGCGACAAAACAATGAAAGTAATTACATCATATGTTCACAATATCAAGGGCGCACTAATGGGAGAGGGGGTTTACATACCTACAAAACGGTGATATAACTAAAAACTATCCCCCAAAAAAAGGCCGTTATCATAAGTATATGGGAAACCATACGAACAGTGTTGCATTGTGGTTGTTTTACCCATAGACAATATGTTAACATCAGAGCTGGGCAGTATTCGATTTTGTAAATACTTTTTAGCATTCAAATCCTTTAAAGTATTCAAATACTTTGTAATTAAATACTTTTATGGAAGCAGTATTTGTATTTGTAACTCAAATACTTTCACAAATATTTAGTATTCGAATACTTCGCAAGGTATTTGAATACTTTGAGAAGTATTCGAATACTTCGCATAGTATTTGAATACTTAACCTTCCTTCTTTTACCAAAAATCGACTACTCCAAAATTTCTCGGGAAAACACTTTTTCTTATTAATTTTGGTGCGTAGAATCCAAAACAATTCGTACTTTTTCGATCAGATTTCTCAATAAAAAGTTATAGACTAGAAACCAATTTCGAAAGAAAATTCAAAGGGCTGTAACTTTTGAACTAGTAGCCCAATCTTGGAACTGTTTGAAATTATAAATTCTACAGGCCACATTCTATAAGAAAATTTTTTTTCCGGGTCGATCTGAGACAATTTTTTTTCGGGCCTCAAAAAAAGGCAGTGTATAACCTTCCTTTTTTACCAAAAATCGACTACACCAAAATTTCTCGGGAAAACACTTTTTCTTATTAATTTTGGTGCGTAGAATCCAAAACAATTCGTACTTTTTCGATCAGACTTCTCAATAAAAAGTTATAGACTAGAAACCAATTTCGAAAGAAAATTCAAAGGGCTGTAACTTTTGAACTAGTAGCCCAATCTTGGAACTGTTTGAAATTATAAATTCTACAGGCCTCATTCTATAAGAAAATTTTTTTTCCGGGTCGATCTGAGACAATTTTTTTTTCGGGCCTCAAAAAAAGGCATTGTATAACCTTCCTTTTTTACCAAAAATATTATTTTAACATATATCGAAAACGAAGCAGACTGAATAATTCGTAAGAAAGTAGCAAAAGTCGATTTTGGTTCGAAGGGAGACATCTTTTAAATAAAAATTTAAACCCACGGCGTCAACCTCCTAAGCAGGGTTGCCACCTCTTCACTAATTTAAACTTGAACGTTGGGTCAAATGAAGTCCTTTGAAGAATACAGGGTGCCAAATGACAAATATCAAATGGATATTCAAACTTTTTCGTGAATAAACACGTTCATTAGAAATATTAGCTATACACAAAACAATCCTGCAGAACATAAACCATGAGAAATTAACATAATTAACCCTCCCAATAACCCACAAACATAATAGACTCGTAAAACCTGCTAAAGCTATCTCTATTTTTCTCTGTTTTTGCTTTTCCTTACGGGTTGTTTATTTCGTTGTGCCTCCCTGTATAAAGACAATTACACAGCTCCAAACTCCCACCTCTTCCCCTTATGTTGGAGAAGGAAAGATTTCCTGATTTTTTACACGTTTTCAGTATATCATTGCCATACAAACTTCCGTTTCTCAAAATAACTATAATTTACCCTTGCGCCAATAATAATTAGGGAAGGCAATATTTGAACATTACCATACTAATATTTTTGGAGAACAAACAATAACTCAGCAAATAAAATCAGATAACTTTGGACAATCTAATGTAGCTAAGCAAAAGAAATGAAATAATATTTATTTAACTTTAAAAAATCGAAAATGAACATTTTTAAAGGACGAGGGGTGACATCTCTAGTAAGCAAGTACAAATCTATCGAGTTTGTGATAAGTAAAAATGAAGCAACATTTTTTCTAATGTGTTTCGTGTGATTAGGGGTCAACTACCAAGTCTACTAACTAAGGGTTCTTTTCTTTAGATGTTGATCATACAACTTTTGTAATCAATTATGAAGGAAAGTAATGGAACATTTAGCATAGATCAACGGATTATATATAAATGTTCACACATTTCAACCAACGGAACCAAATGCATGTTATAAGTCCGATTGTGGTTTTATAAAGGCGCCACCCACGTGAGGATGTACGCGATAAATTGCGATTGAAAGAGAAAAAACGCGCAACGTTTAAGTAGGTAGTGATTACTCATACGCTTCTATAAGTGTACCACTTATAAATTATCGAGTGTTTTTTATACGAAACAATAAACATGAAAGAACAATGTAACAATATCGTCTGAATATTAAAACACAAAGATCACTTACCTCTAATTTTTTGTTCGTCGGCTAATTGTCTTTCTAAACTGTCTTTCACTTCTCTTTCCCTGAGTACGTCCATCTTTAGTTCGGCTGAAACAAAAGGAAATAATTGCTCAAGTGCATGTAGGTATACGCTACAACAAACATAATTGCTCAAATTAATCTGTATACGAAATCTGAAAGTCTTTTACGATCACGTCGGTTATGGTCGCACCAATTCAGGTAAATTTAATAAGTGGGTACCTTATAAAACCGAATAACATAAAATTACTAGTTATAAAACATCTGCTGGTCGATTATTCTCCTTTCCTAAAGAGCGATACATCTGCACTTGTCTGGCATTAAAAAAATCAAATGATATTTATCTCTAATGGGATTAACAGTTAACTTAAATGCCTTAACGGGAGCTCCTTGGAGGGGGATGAAAAATCGATTAGCGCAGAGAACGGGAGCCGAAATTGATGAAAAGAAAATAAATAATGAAAGAATGATAATGTAAAATTTCCCTACTACGTTCATTCGAATTAGCCAGCTGAAAAGGAAGAAAATGTACCTAAATCTTTATCAACCGCAAAATGTTGGATGATAAATGGTTTACATTCATCCGAAAGCGTGGCGGAAGAAGGCAGTCAGTGAATTTGTATCCGAAATGGTGGCTGCAATGAATCAATTTCTTTCTATTAAGAACGTCTTCATACCGATCTGGGGAAGATGTAATTATATCTATATAAATCAGTACACCTTGACAGCAGCTACGCGGGGGCCATTTGGATTAAAGTATCCCCCGTCGCCGCATTTTACTTCCATCCACGTGGGGCCCATCCTTGTTACAATAAATGTATCTAAGAAGTCACTTTAATAGCAAACGATACTTTGATTCAATCGGATAAACGAATACGGTCCGGATTATTAATCTTATACGCTCCCGTCGACCCAATGATCGAAATTTAATTACCACCCCCCCAATTTTTGTGACGCGTCGCATTCGCACGGGGTTAAGACCATTCGGAGAGGATGAGAAAAATTTCTCTAGGAGCACAGGTGGGCCCGTACGATCAAAGATCAAACCAATAATTTGTAATTATAATTCTCAAAAATGTTTGGCCATCGGCGCTTTTGTAGATATAAAAATGTTTTCGATCAATTTGATAGTTATTCCTAACTATACCTCTTCAATGCATAATAGACATATAATTACGTCTTAAATTGATTCGACTTAATTGAATCAAATAAAATATTAAATCGGCTTTTCGTGAATCATAAAACATTTACTTTTGCGCTTCGAGTATTTTAAACGTCACTGTCGGTTTTATTTAGTTTATTAATTGACGACCAGCGCCCATGGGGTAATTACGATTTTCAAAGTGCAGCAAAGTTGCAAGCACTAAATTGCACCTTTGATCGATACCTTTTCTATTTCTGTTTCGTTAACGCACTTTTACACTTATACAATTTCAATAGACGAAATAAAGTTCGAATTAGAATTTCTGCTACTACCAGATCAAGTTTGGATCAAAAACAAATTTCGCATGCAAATTCTATCCAAATTTGTCCAACAAAGCAATTTAAAGATAAAACTCGTTACAGCCAAAAGTTAGTGTACGGAAATAACGCATAACATAGTTCGAATTTTGTTAGTAACTTCATGATCGTGATCGAAAAATCCCCCGTCTCCAAGAAAACTTGCACTTTGTTGATAGGAGGTTTGCCCTCAGGAAATTTACCGGTAGTATTTTCGCTGTCACGTACAGTTCCCTCGTCGAGTCTTTACGAAAAGTAAGGTCATTTAGCTTATTATTTTTGAGTGAGGGGGGAGGGGGCTAAATTCACTGAATTTACAACGTATGTCTTGATCAAGTATCGAAGATGCCGAAAACGCTTTTTTGTTTAGTATACAGGATGTTACATGTAAGTATGTAAAAATAAACCGAGGGCCCAACGTGTTTCGTTTGGGAGTTACTCCCAAAAAAGTGTCGAAATTTGCATTTCTTGTTTAATTTTTCTCTCGGCAAGTATCAAAAATCACCAAATACCAAATTCTGTAGAAATCAGAATTTTTTTTCGTACTCCACTTAGGGGCGCACCTTTTCGTAGTCGGAATTTTGCAAAAAAATTTGGAAAATCGGGAAGGGCATACCAGAAAACCTATTCAAAGACGTGTCACCAGTCTTTCTAACTCTAAATGTAACACTCTGCAAGCACACCATAGTCCCAATTACGAGACAAAACGCAATTTCAGTGTAATCGACCAAAACGAAATTAGCACTACGCACTACGCAGCAGTTTAGCCACATTTTTCAATTGTTGGGACAATCGTTACCATGGATTTTAAACCCTGATTAAATTTGACTTGATACTTTCGTTTTGATCGATTATTTTTAGGAGTAAATTTACTGAAACTGGCTAATCTGCACCATGGAGGAGGTTTTTCCGGTGACGAATTTACCTAGAGGTGAATATTCCGAGGGCGAATTTTTCGGGGAACATTTCCCTATAATCCTCCTATAATTCCTCCCGTAATTCCATTGATAAAGAAGTTACGGTTATTCTGCGAATTTGTATTCTGAAACCTAAGTGTATCTTTAACAGTAAGAGTAGATAAAGTGATCACCTTAACATCAAGAGTAGATAGTGAAAGAACTGATTGTACATTCCAATTGCATCTGTCATTCTTATTAAAAATGGAACGCGGAGCACGAAATAAAATGAAGACCAGAACACAAAACAATATTGTTTCCTTGGAAACGACGAGATATCTTCAGGTTGCTATTTTGGACGTCTAAATTAAATACTTAAGGCCGCTTGACATGGAGCAATACAACGCGCAAGAACTTGCAGAAAGAAATTGCAAGGTCAAATCCTTGCATGCAATAAGAATTGCATGGCATTTGACATGGTGCAATTCTATTTCAATTGCCACATGTCTGCCAACAGAAGAAAAATATGAATTTGTCAACAAAGTTGCTAACCTCAAATAAAAATGAAATTTTGACTGCTTGAAGAAACCTAAAAATTACAAGAATAAATAAGATTAATAAAAACAAGTAATGAGTGCGTCTCTCAGCATCATAGTTGCCGCCGCTGTATTTTACTAGGTTGGTGACACAAAAACAACTAGATTTATCCCTAGCATTGCGCGATTCATGCAAGAAAAATAGCACCGGTCTTATAAAAATTGCATGCAAGTCTCTTGCAGCAATTGATCAGCTGGCTTTGAACTGCGCATGCCTTTCGCAATTTTTCTTGCAACTTGCATGCAATTGCAATTTTTATTGCTCCATGTCAAGCGGGCTTTACAGAATTTGCAAAAGTTTTACAATGTATTCTATTATGTTGTATTGTATTATACACGACGATAAAGGGAAACCAACGATCTAGTGAAAGCTAATTCACTCGATGGTTAAAATTGTGATTATTGTTTAGTGATCCATTAAATAGATCCACCACTGCTTTTAAATAAATGACGTTTGACATGTTACCAACCAATGTTTACTATTTGGTTTTGCAGGAAATTTATACAACTCAATTGAACCAAAATTGTGCTATTTCATGTGTGCAATATTAGTGCTCTGGTCATAGAAACAATTATCTCGCATGGTTTAGGAAAATGGTAGCACTTTTTCAAGAAAACTTAGCACCCAAAACATTTGCGCAGAAGTCATAATAAGCTAATAGGTTAAACTTTAATTCTTCATGAAAAGGTTTGTAGTAGTAAAATTTATTGGTTACAATTTTTTGAACTAGTAACAACTTTGATTTTTACTTTACGACAAATCAACGAAATTCGTTACAACTCAATATCGAACAATCCTCGATATCGTTTTTGGGCTGTAACTAATTGGCCCGATAGTCTACGTAGCTGAAAAATATCCTGAAGAACGTGTGTACTAATTTTCAAAGCGATCGGACGTTTCTAAACAAAGTTATCGTGCACACGAACAGACGAACGGACAGAAGACAGCAATACGAAATTAGAAACGATCTCGAAGGTGGTTAATAATTGGGATGTAGTTTTGTTTTCTGTGAATAGTTGAGCCTTGATAACGATAAGGGTACATGACCTTGAAAAATCAAAAAATCACCAAAATTATAAAACAAATCCACATACCTTAAAATAGGGGTCAGTGTAGGGTCAAGTGGGACATATATATTTTTTAAAAATAGCAATCACTATTTTTTATTACCTACATATTCTTAAAGTGCACGTACACGATCTCTCAGTGTAGTTTTAAGGGTGACAAAAATTTGTCAAGAAGCAAAGAGTACCCATCTCTTTGCTAGAAGCACAGACAACATATACTGTTGTCTGTGCTAGAAGTAAGAAACCCCAACTTAATGTCACTGTAATTACCCTTTAAACTAGAAAAAATGGTGCTATCTGTCTGTTTGCCCGTTCTTCCGGAATTGTAACGATAACTTGAAAAAGGGAGAGGGGGGGGGGCATTTTTATTCCCATTTCGACAATCGATTGGTTAGGTCTTGCATATTAAAAGAGTTCGTAGATGAACAAAATTAGATTAATCAAAATATTTCAAATCGCATTATCTACGTTCCTTAGGTCTTCTTTAGACGAAATCCTTTTTGTGGCAGTATTAGAATTATAAATTATAACAAATCTAACTCTATACATTTGTCAATTTAACTCAATTTGCATTTCTAAATTATTTAAGTTTCAGAAACTTAAAATGCTCATAAATGTGCAACATTCTGAAACCTGTTGACGCTTTTTTCTCACCTTCTTCACGTACTCTTCTTGTTTGCGCGTTCCTCCCTCAAATCTGATCATTTGCTGTTCTTGACAACTCACTTTTTTTCCTTCACAGATTTTCTCTTAAAGATATAAGCGCACGAGAATATTTTTTGAGAGTCTTAAGGGATGAACGTTTTGAGGATGAACCTTTGGATGTACGTACGTACAATTATGGGGTAAGTAAAGGTTCTAAACGAATGTAGAACCAAGGGGTTTTGGGGATGAAGAATTTATTTTTTAATAGAGAAATGAACCTTCAATTTTTCCTTTTTCCTCGGGGAATCCCCCCCCCCTCCTTCCAATTTCTTAAGCGCATTTTTTGTATGCCTTTCTTACTCTC